TAAAGGATTCAAGTGATTAAACTAACACACTTCTATATTAAAACTAAATAAGAACAAATGCANAGGTATTTGGTTTAAAATTTGAAGAAAAGGCCCAATCTGATTTCTTCTATTTTAATTCTTTTCTATTTATTCAATTTCCTAAATAATAAAGCTAAAAATGCTAATATTAAATTATAAAAACTCAAAATTATCTCAAAAATACTAATTAACTCCTAATAACAATTATCGCACATTTAAATAGCAATTAACTATAAAATCACACAATTTGGACGTTAAATGCTAAAAATGCAACGTACATTATTTTTTTTATGATTTTTTCATTTTGTAAAACAAATTTAATTAAATATTAAATGCAAANCGAACGGAAACAAATCTGCCCGGAAACTTTGAAACCAAAATAACTTGAATCTGCCCGGAAAATAACTCGATGAGTATGAACGCAGCAGTGGCGGCGCAGGGCAGTCCGTAAGGGGGTCGTGCGGAGATGGAGTTCGCTGGGGGTTTCAGGTGGACGGGGCTGGTGGTAACGACGGGGCTGCGTGTGACGTAGCTGCTGGTCGTGAGGGAACTACTGGTCGCTTGGAGACGACGAACTGCACGCGTCGAAGCTGCACGTAGCAGCTGTTCACGTCCATGGCTGGAGCCTCGCAACTGGAGGAGCTGGGCGTTCATGGCTTGGGTTGTCGCGGGTGGTCGCTTGGAACGGAGCTCGCTGGCTGCTGTAGGGTGGTTGTGTTGTTTGGTGGAGGATGAAGGGGACGACGGGAGAGGGGCAGCCATGGGAGGGGAGCTTTGGGAGTTTTGGAGAAGAAGAGGGAAAGAGAGGGGGGCGGGTGGTTTGTTAGGTTTAGGGTTAGGGAAATGAAAAAATGAAAAATGAAGAAAGGGGTTGGGTCTTTGGGGTTATGGACTGGGTCGACCCGGTTTGAAATGGACCAGGTCGTAGGGGAAGGCTAGGTATTTGGTTTAAAATTTGAAGAAAAGGCCCAATCTGATTTCTTCTATTTTAATTCTTTTCTATTTATTCAATTTCCTAAATAATAAAGCTAAAAATGCTAATATTAAATTATAAAAACTCAAAATTATCTCAAAAATACTAATTAACTCCTAATAACAATTATCGCACATTTAAATAGCAATTAACTATAAAATCACACAATTTGGACGTTAAATGCTAAAAATGCAACGTACATTATTTTTTTTATGATTTTTTCATTTTGTAAAACAAATTTAATTAAATATTAAATGCAAACGCGACATATTTTTTATATTTTATTAATTTAAACAAATAAACATGCACAGACAAAAATACAAATAATTATCCAAAAATGCCACGAAAATTCAAAAATCGCACACAAAGGAAAATTATTTTATTTTGGATTTTTGGGAGTAATTCTCATATAGGGCAAAAATCACGTGCTCACAGGGCCAACCCGGGTTGAAATGGACCGAGTTGTGAGGGAAACTTGGGACCGTTGGATCAATGGAGATGGACGGTTTAGATTGACATGCCTGAAACGGCGTCGTTTTAACTATACATGGGCTGAACTGGGTCGTTCGATCCAGTTTGATCAACGGCTCAGATTTGAGGTGCCAATACGGCGTCGTTTGGATTGGTTGCAGGTGGACTAGATTTGGGGCGGGTATGGGCTGGTTTTTTGGACAGGTTTGGGTGTATTCCATTTGGGCCTTGAAGCTTTTGGCCCAAATCCGGGTATCCTAATTTTTGAACTCTTTTTTCTTTTTCCTTCTTTAATTCCTAATTACATTGTAAAATCAAAAAATAAAACTACACAAATATTAATTAACACTTACAACAATTAACACACAAATTAAAATCTTAAAATAAAATCACACAATGACAACAAATAGAATAAAACGCATATTTTGTGATTTTCCTTTTAGAGCCAAATGATGGTTTAATTAATTCCTAAATGCATGATTAAATCTTAAATATGCATGCAACATGTATGTACATTTTTTTAATTAACTACAACAAGGTAAACATTTACGGACAAAAACACAAATAATTATCAAAAATGCCACGCAAATCTTAAAAATTGTACACCACAAGAATTTTGTTTTATTTTTGATTTCTTTTGGAGTAGTTTTCGTGAAGCAAAAATCACGTGCTCACAATAGTCAATTGTGATAATTCCACTAGAGAGCAGTTGTCTAACGGTATTATGCCTTCGTCGAATGCGACGAGATTTCCCGTTATACATAACGCTCCAAGCCCTTCCTATTGCTGCTTTACTGTCGAAATGTATGCATACAGGTGCCAAAGGTTTGGGCCAAAAAGGAATGTCTTCTAAGAAATTTCGGAGCCATTCAGCTTTTTCACTGGCCTTGTCTAAAGCTATAAACTCAGACTCCATTGTAGAGTGATCGATGCATGTCTGTTTGGATGACTTCCAAGATACTGCTCCTCCGCCAATGGTAGAAACATATCAACTTGTGGATTTTGTTTCCGTTGATCCGGTGATCCAATTTGCATCACTATATCCCTCAATAACTGCAGGATAATTATTGTAATGAAATGCATAGTCTTGAGTATATTTTAAATATCCCAAAACTCGTTTCATTGCTATCCAATGAGCATGGTTGGGATTACTTGTGTATCGACTAAGCTTACTTATTGCACAAGCTATATCAAGTCGTGTACAATTCATAATCTACATCAAACTTCCCAACACTCAAGCATATTCCAATTGATATTTGCTTTCACTTTTATTCTTTACAAGAATATGGTTTAAATCAATTGGCATTTTTGCTTCTTTAAAGTCCAAATATTTGAACTTTTCAAGAACCATTTTAATATAATGAGATTGAGACAAAACTAGACCTTGAGGAGTCTGTAGGATCTTATTTCCTAAAATTAAATCGGCAACTCCTAAGTCTTTCATATCAAACTTACTAGTAAGCATGCGCTTAGTAGCATTTATGTTAGCAATATCGTTACTTATTATCAAAATATCATCCACATATAAACAAACAATGACTATTTGATTTGGAATATTCTTAATGTAAACACATTTGTCACACTCATTGATCTTGAAACCATTGGCAACATTGTTTGGTCAAATTTCACATGCCATTGTTTTGGTGCTTGTTTTAGTCCGTAAAGTGACTTAACAAGTCGACAAACCTTCTTTTCTTTTTCGGGAATTACAAACCCTTCAGGTTGTTCCATATAGTTTTCTTCCTCTAAATCCCCATTTAAGAAGGCCGTATTTACATCCATCTGTTGGATTTGAAGGCCATACACGGCGGCTAACGCATTTAATACCCGAATAGATGTAATCCTTATTACCGGAGAGTATGTGTCAAAGTAATCAAGACTTTCTCGTTGTCTAAACCCTTTAACAACTAATCTTGCCTTATATTTGTCAATAGTACCATCAGCTTTCATTTTCCTTTTGAAAATCCATATAGAACCCAAAGGTTTATTTCCCGGAGGTAGATCAACCAATTCCCAAGTATGATTACTTAATATGGATTCTATATCACTACTGACTGTCTCTTTCCAATCTTGTTCTTTCGAGGAAGACATTGCTTCTTTGAACGTTTGAGGTTCATTTTCCAAAAATATGCCAGAAAATCTGGTCCAAAGGAAGTAGCTGTCCTTTGACGTTTACTACGTCTTGGATTTTCCTTATCAAACGTACTTTCCTTTGCTTCTTCCCGAGGTCGCTTAGATTTTTCATTAGACGACTTACATTCCATTTTATATGGATAAATATTCTCAAAAAATTCAGCATTATCCAATTCAATTACCGTATTAATATGAATGTCGAGATTTTCTAATTTATGAACCAGAAACCGATATGCCTTACTATTTGTTGCATATCCTACGAAAATGCAATCAACGGTTTTTGGTTCAATTTTTACCTTTTTGGGCTTGGGAACTTGTACTTTAGCCAAACACCCCCACACTTTAAAATATTTTAAGTTGTGTTTCCTTCCTTTCCATTTTTCATATAGAATGGATTGTGTTTTGCTATGGGGAACTCGATTTAGTATTCGATTAGCTGTAAGAATAGCTTCCCCCCACAAGTTTCGAGGTAAACTAGAACTTATTAATAAGGCGTTCATCATCTCCTTTAACGTTCTATTCTTTCTTTCCGCAATTCCATTAGATTGCGGTGAGTAAGGGGCAGTTGTTTGGTGAATAATGCCATTTTCCAAACATATTTCTTCAAAAAAAGATTCATATTCGCCACCTCTATCACTTCTTATCATTTTGATCTTTTTGTTTAATTGCGTTTCAACTTCATTTTTGTATTGCTTGAATGCGTCTATTGTTTCATCTTTACTATTAAGTAAGTAAATATAGCAATATCTAGTACTGTCGTCAATGAAAGTTGTGAAATACTTTTTCCCACCGCGAGATGGTATTGACTTCATGTCGCAAATATCCGTGTGAATTAAGTCTAAAGGATTTGAATTCCTTTCAACTGACTTATAAGGATGCTTAAAATACTTTGAGTCCACACATATTTGACATTTCGAGTTATTGCATTCAAACTTAGGTAATACTTCCAAATTAATCATTTTTCGCAAAGTTTTGAAGTTGACGTGGCCTAAACGTTCATGCCATAAATTATTTGTCTCAAGCAAGTAAGAAGAAGTTGAAATTTTATTCATATCAATGGCAATTACATGAGTTTAAAAAGTCCCTCAGTCAGGTAACATTTTCCTACATACATTTCATTCTTACTAACTACAACCTTGTCGGAAACAAAAATACACTTAAATCCATTCTTGACTAGAAGTGATATCGAGACTAAATTCTTCCGCATTTCAGGAACATGAAGAACATCTTTTAGAGTCACAATCTTTCCCGAAGTCATCTTCAAATCCGCCTTGCCCATTCCTTCAATTTTTGCAGTAGCGGAGTTTGCCATAAACACTGTCTCGTTGGGTCCAGCGGGAGCATAAGAAGTAAACAACTCCTGGTTAGCACAAATATGTCGAGTTGCTCCTGAATCAATCCATCATTCTCTAGGATTTCCGACTAAGTTGCATTCTGAAAACATGGCACATAGGTCGTCTATTTCATCATTCTTCTCAATCATATTTGCTTGACTTTTCTTTTTGTCCTTCTTTGGTGCATGACGTTCAGTAGCCTTGTGTCCAACCTTTCCACAGTTGTGGCAATTACCTTTAAACCTCTTCTTGCTTGGATAATTCTTTGATCCAGACAGCTTCTTTCTCTTTTTACTCGTTGAAGCTTCCTCAACAATATTTGCACCCATTATTGTTGAACTTCCACGAGATTTCTTCTTAGCAGCCTTGTTGTCCTCTTCAATCCGTAGACGAACAATAAGGTCTTCAAGCGTCATCTCCTTGCGCTTATGTTTCAAGTAATTCTTAAAGTCCTTCCACAGCGGAGGCAACTTTTTAATAAATGCCGCAACTTGAAACGCTTCATTTATGACCATACCTTAAATCATAAATTTATAATTAGTACAATAATTAATATCTTGAATAAAAATATTGACTCGTTTCATACCTTCAGTAAGGATGTCATGAACAATAACTTGCAATTCTTTGACTTGCGCTATGACAGATTTATCGTCAATCATTTTGAAATCCAGAAATTTGGCGGCCACAAACTTCTTTAGTCCAGCATCTTCAGTCTTGTACTTCTTTTCAAGAGCATTCCATAATTCTCTTGATGTTTTCATGACGCTACAAACGTTGTACAGGCCATCTTCTAGTCCACTTAAAATGTAATTTTTGCATAGGAAATCAGAGTGCTTCCAAGCCTCAGTAACAAGGAAGCGCTCATTGTCAAGGGTTCCTTCAGGCACGACTAGAAAATCCTCTTGAATGAACCTTTGCAGACTTAAAGTGGTCAGATAAAAGAACATCCTTTGCTGCCATCTCTTAAAGTCAACACCAGAAAATTTCCCCGGCTTTTCCGCTGGTGGCATAGCCATTGCAAGTGCAGTAGGACGGATAGGACCTGGCATCCCTGAAACTGTGTTAGCAGTAACAATCATAGCATGATTAATTTGTTCCTCTCCGTTAGTCATTTCTGTCAATATGACACAAACAGATTCAGTAAATGGTGAAGTGTTTAATCCTTCAACCCAAGACAACACAGTGAAGAGACTATTCTTCAAACTGATTTTAACACAGTGAATAGATTATTCTTCAAACTAGTTAGGAGTAGAAAACCACGAAGGGTTTAATCTCCTCATTCACTTTGAAAATCAGAAGAGCAAGGATATATATTTAAATAAGATCTTAAGCTTGTTAGATATTCTGAATTTATAAGTCACTAAAAAAGGAAAAAAATAAATGAACGGAAATTGGCAGTATTATGTCCCGAGCCCACAAATTCCTTGTGTCTCCTTAAAGAATCTTATCCCCTCACTGTTGCCCAAGGTTCACGGATAAATTCTTTCCAGGATATAACAGAACTTTCAACTTAGCGGTAGCAACACTTCAAACCACTATGTTATCAGCGAACTCAAAATAATGGTGTAAATCACACGACCGACTTACTTTGTTTTGAAAGTAATGATGCAGAAAGATGAAGGAGAAGAAGCAGAAGATTTCAGGGTCAAAAATTCTGAAGGAATGACTGCTTATTTATAGCCAACGAATTTCTGGATTGAAAGGGTGTGAAAGTAACTGTTCACACTGCATGTGGCTATTCGTGAAATGCAGCCTCTCTGGTGGCTATTTAACGCAGGAATATTTAAATAAAATTAAAGACAAAAATTAATTAATTTATCGTTACAAATAACAGTCACTCAAAATATTAATATTTAACTAATTAATTTCATTTTATTGGTCCAAAAAATTAAGTCAATCAAATCAATTGACCGAAGTCGAGCCGAGCGAGCGACAACGATGACGACAGCGCGAGGCCCCTTCCTCTTAGCTCCTTTTAAGAGCTTAAGGAGGTGCTTCTATATTTAAACCCAACAAAATACTTGTCTTTAACCAACGAGGGACAAAGTGCAAAAGCCAAAGTTGCTTTTTCACCTTCTTTCCTCATTTTCCATTCACATTACCACACTTCAATTCCAACAAGTTGTAGACCGAAAACGTTGGGTATTTGGGGAGGAAAGAGGGGAGGGGCACATAAAACATGAGGATTTGGGTGGAGGGGTAGAGGAGAGTAGCATAAAAAATTATTATCTTAAAAAAATTTTGGACTCTCTAACAAAACACTAGAAAATATTTTTTGATTTTTTTTTCAAGAAAAATATTTTATTTTATATCAAACACACCCTTAGAAGCTTTAAAGGACAATTGCTATTCATGGGTCAGTTTGGGCTAAAGTCAAGTGCTAATTTGGGCTACGGATGGATTTAGTTGGGTTGTGTCCAAACTTAGCCCATCATTAAAGTAGTCCATGCCCAACCCACTTAAACCTGAGCGAGTTTGGGGAGTCAAATGGGTTTGGGCCATTTTTGTCATCCTAGTTATAGTTAAAGTTAAAGTAGCGCTTTTTATTTTAGAAAATCTATTGAGGTATCAAAAACGAATGGAACTCCCAAGTCGAGATGTCTGGCAGAATGCTTGATCTCCTGCGCTAGAAGCGAGACCCGAAGGGTGAGCTTATGGCGGTTAGCTTCTGAGTTGAAAGGAGGCAAACACAAATGAAGGGAAGCATTACGGGCCAACTACAAAAAAAAAAAAAAAAAAAAAAAAAAAAAAAAAAAAAAAAAAACAAAGCTTCGTAGACTCGTTAAGTCGCTTGTAGAACGCTGATGACTATTTTTCACTCAATAAGTGAAGGGGCAGATCGATCACAGTTCACCATGTGCTTTAAGCTATTAAACATATCTATTGATATCAAGGATCCATCTCGTACTTAATTTTTCTACCTTAAATTATTGAGTTTTAGTATTATCACATGTTTCTTCATGTTGTGTCGTGTGCGTGCCGGGCCTTATTCACTCAATATTATTATTGTGTGTACTACGACGCAACTTTCTGAGGATCTATATATATTATTGGGTATCTTGTTCAGATTCAATCGAGATTTCAAAAAAGTATAATGCCATTTGTATATAATTCTTTAGTTCTATTCAAACGGAGAATTATGCATACGACGAAATTATTGCACCAACAACAACCAAATGGGTCATAAAGGTATGAGGAATTACTTGAGAGATTTACGATTTAAACTTGATAGGTTTAATATTAAAAATTCTTATCCTCATCGGCTCATTGCATTTTTTAGATTATGAGTTGATTAGAATTTAGTATATATTGACATTTTAGTAAATTTTCATATTATATTTATGCTCTGTCTCAAAAATTATAAATTTAGTTGAAGCCCGCAAACTTATATATGATACATCCGCCCGGCATTATATGACAAACTAAAGCATATTTTTCACACTATCTATTTGGTTAGCTTAATTTGTCTAATCCAAGCGGGGATGGATTTAGGGGAACGGAAGGGGTTCACTCTTATGCCGGAAAATTACACTATACATATAAGATAAAATTCATTTTGTACCTCTATATATTACACTTTTAATCTCTTTGACACAACCCACAAACATAGCTCAGTGATCAATGGTGTTCAAAATCTTTAAGTTTGCTGGTTCAATTCTGACGGTCATAGTCTCTTTAAATTTTTTAAATATTTTTTAAAACCCTTTTAGCGAAAATCCTGTCCCGCAAGTACTTAATTATAAATTACTGGTAGTTGTTGTAGACTATATGTGTCCACCCCACTCGGTACTTAGTTTATAAATCAATGATTGCGATTAACATTGCTACAACTTATAATCATTAGAAACTGAAAGATGATGGTTGAACCATAAAGATTATAATCATTGCAATGTTATCTAGTTGCTTCGAGGAACAACTTGGAAACAAGTTTCCTAAAGTAATTATGTTACTTCCCCACGTGAAAATTCTACTTATTTTCATTAAATCTCCTGCAAAAGAAAGTTTTAATCCTTAGTACTTTAACCAGAATATGTATCCTAAAATATTCATGGCATTCTCTTTCAGTATTTAGAGATGATGATAAAGCAAAGAAAAGAATTAAAAAGGACATTATATTGTCATTTGATGATCTATTAGTCATAACTTAGAAGAGGTTGTTTATTTGAGCACTGCATTCAAACATATGTTAGTACTCATGTATTAGTTTGAAGTATTTCCCTCTACATGATTGGCTTTGCAGAATCTATAACTTCGAACAATTCTCCCCTTTTAGCCTTGGCGTAACTGGTAAAGTTATTACCATATGATCAGGAGGTCACATGTTCAAGCTATGGAAACCACCTCTTATATAAATACAGGGTAAGGCTGCGTACAACAAACCCTCGCATGGTCCGACCCTTCCCCAGATCCTCCACACATAGTGGAAGCTTAGTACACCGAACTGCCTTTTTTTCCCGTACAATACTCCCTTTTAGCCTTAGACTAAATTTTTATCTAGCTGAACAGTGGCGAAACTAGAGTACGGGTCACTAAATATCCATAACTATTTGATTGTAAATTCAATTATCATTATGTATTAACTGAAGATCCTTATCTAAATTCAATTATCATTGTGTATTAACTAGAGCCCCTAATCTAATAGATAGTTAAAGAGCTCCCGTTGAAGAGCACAAAGAGAGTAGGATCAGTGATTTACCTAAGTAACGTTGTAATAAATTCACTGTTTACTTTTTTAGCCGGTATACATAAATTATATACTGTTATGCACATACTACACATAAATCATACATATTTTATACATCAGCTGTCTATTTTTAACTTAAGCGATTAGGTGAATGACTATTTAGGTTAATTTTCTAATTGGTTGAGCCCATACTGGTCCAAATTGGGCTTATCATGAGGGGCTGATCTAGCGGAATTTTGGGCTAGCCAAAATAGGTGGGTTTTTCTGTCTCTTCCTTTATTTCTTTCGGGCCTCTTTTTATACTTTAAGTTTTGAAGAATTAACCTAAATAGCTGCTCACTTAATCTCTTAAATTAAAAATAATCGGCAAATATATATATATATAATTCATATATAATATACGTATAATTGTATATAATCTATGTACACCGGCTAAAAAAAGTAAACAATAAATTTGGCTGGCTATTTGTGTAATAACCCCTTTAGTTTTTCTTAAAATGCAACAAAGTTCCAGAAGATTGGCAAGTGCAAAGTAGAATAAATTAAATTAATAAAGTAAGTATACTCTATCAAATGCCTGAACATGCATAATTAAAATGATTTACTTGAATATTTGCTCAATAACAATATACCCAGTATTATTTTACATTGTGGAATTTTGTCACGACCCAAGTTCTCCCTTCATGAACCATCGTGACGGCACATAGTCTCTACGACTAGGTAAGCCTAACATTGCGGAAAAAGAAACGAAACGTAAATGCTATCAACTAATAAGTAAATTTAAACAAGGAATGTTATGCCGCTCGGCATATACAATAATCACTTCCGAACAGTACATAAACTCTCCCAAAACCCGGAATGTCATAAGTTACAAGCTAAATAAAGAAACAGTACTCCCATACTCCAGAGTCAAATACAAGAAGAAAATACAAGAAGGGTTGTCATTGGGTGGAATAGATAGGGACTTCAAGGTCTGCGGACGCGGCAAATATACCTTGAAGTCTCTACAACTGGCTCGCTTCACTAGTGATGTGGCTGGTAAGAGGTACCTGGATTTGCACACGAAAAACATGTGCAAAAAAGGGTATGAGTACACCACAATGGTATCCAGTAAGTGCCAAGCCTAACCTCGGTCGAGTAGTGATGAGATCAGGTCAGGGCTCTACTGGTATAAATAGAATGAAATAAGACGGAAAACAAGTATTACAATGAAATAAGTACGAAAATTTAATAGGAATAAAATTCAATGAAAGCCAACGGCTCAAAACACAATTATAGCAACAGGGGATCTCCTGGGATACCGCCCCGTATTCCCAAACGTAAATGTATAGGAGGGATCTCCCAGAATACCATTCTGTAGTCCCAAAGTAAATATACAATGCTGGGGTATATCTCGGAATACCGTTCCGTAGTCCCAAAGTAAATATGCAGTACGGGGAGATCTCCCAGAATACCGTTCTGTAGTCCCAACGTAAATATGCAACTCCACCAAACAGAGACAACAGTTATAGCAAGAAACCACACAATTTAGGCTAAATTCGAGTCAAGGAAGAATATGAAATCTCACCAAAACATGCTACACAGAGTCCAGATAGGCAGTTAAGACACGTAGGCATGCTTTCATAAACTAAACAGGATAGTTACATATACTAGTGTTACTCAATTAAAGGAAAACAGATATTAGCTTAATGAAAATGGAGTTTTTCAACAAATAGCCCGTGTACACACTCGTCACTTCACGTACACGACGCTCATATATCAAACAGTACCAAATCCTAAGGGAAGATCCCTCACACAAGGTTAGGCAAGTCACTTACCTCGAACCAAGCTCAACTCAATCCGAAATAATGCTCTTTCCACGAATATCCAGCTCCGGATGGCCCAAATCTAGCCAAAATAATTACAAAACGTAAATATAGCTACAAACAACTACTTTAGCTAATAAAATCAAAGCTAAGACAAGAAAATAAAAAACTGCCCAAAAATCCTCCCCGGTCCCACGTCTCGGAATCAGGTAAAATTTATCAAATAAGAACACCCATTCACTCACGAGATCCCTCATGCAAAAATCATCCAAATCGGACGCCTAAATCCCACTCAAATCTCAGATTTTTGGTTGTGAACTTTTCCCCCAATTTCCCAACTTCCTCACTCAAATTCACTAATTTAATGAACAACTATGGATTAATGAAATATGATCAAAATAGGATTAGAAATCATTACCCAATGACTTCTTCTGAAAAACTCTCGAAAAATCGCCTTCCTCCGAGCTCTAAATCGAATTTTGTGAAATGAATATCACACCCTCAATCTGCCCCTTTTCTGCCGAGCGCTTATCGCACCTGCGGGCCAAGGATCGCATTTGCGGTCCCGCACCTGTGAAATTTTCATTGCAGGTGTGGCTTTTCACTTAAAGCACCTCGTCCACATCTGCGATTAAGAGGTCGCACATGTGTGTGCGCACATACGGACCCTTGTCCGCTTCTCCAGTCCCAGACCGCTCATGTGGTTCCTTCTCTCTCTCCTACGGGCATTGCAGATGTGGAACTCCCCCCGCACCTGCGATCCCAGACCTCCTTTCTATTTCTGCTTCTGCGGTTCCACAACCGCTTCTGTGGCTCCGCGCCGGCGGCCCAAAGTGCGCTGGTGTGAAAACACCAGGTGCAACAACTTCAGCAATTTGCATAAGTTTCAAACCAATCCGTTAAGCACCCGAAACTCACCCGAGGCCCCTAGGACCTCAACCAAATATACCAATCAATCCTAAAACATCATACGAACTTAGTCGAGCCCTCAAATCACATCAACAACGCTAAAAATACAAATCACCCTCCCAATCCAAACTTAATGAACTTGAAACTTTCAAATTCGACAACTGATGCCAAAATCAACCAAACCATGTCCGTTTGACCCTAAATTTTGCACACAAGTCATATTTAACACTACGGACCTATTTCAACCTCCGAAATCGGATTTGACCCCGATATCAAAAATTTCACTACCGGCTCAAAACTCCAAAAATTCGACTTTCGCCATTTTAAGCCTAAATAAGCTACGGACCTCCAAAACACAATCCGCACACGTCCCTAAGCATAAAATTACCCAACGGAGCTAACAGAATTGACAGAACTCCATTTCGGAGCCGTCTTTACACTGTTCCAATTATGGTCCAAACCGACCGGCCCGGTCGGGGCGTTAATTCTCAAAACGACCGGCCGGATCATTATAGATCTGGGGAGGGTAGTGTGTACGCATAACTTACTCCTACCTTTATGAAGGTAGATAGGCGAAATATTTGCTCAAATATTCATAAATGTATAATAGGAGTAAAGGATTTTTTTGGGGGTACATAATATGAGTAAAGGAATGCTAGAAGCGTAATGGAAAAAAAGGGGTGAAATTCAAAAATAGCCAGATTTACAAGTGGTAATTCAAAAATAGCTACAATTTTAAAAGTAATTGAAATTTAGCCACTTTTTCATGTAAAGATAAATCTGAACGAAAATATTATTCAAAATCCGAAAAATATTCCAACATAATATACTGGAGTTTCAGCATAATATACTAGTAGGGATGGCAAATGGGGTAGGGCAGGGCGGGGCAGGGCAAG